AACGAATGCATAACCGGTTACTATTTACAAAGCATAAAAACCATAATATAACTATTCTAATAAAATTACTTAGGTCTTAATGTGCTTAAACAACATAGACTTCAAGAAGGACAGCCGGATATGAATTGAAAACTCAAACGTAAAACTTAACCTTATTTTCTTTCTATCCAACCGCTTCCGTCCCTCTTTTTTCTAAACATTTTTATCTTATTTAGAGACCAATCCAGATTATATTTTCTAAATGAAAGTTGTAGATTGGTTTCAAACGAGTCTATTGCTTTTGAAATCATCTCATTTGGATCATCCATCTATTTTATATGAATTTTACAAAACTGCAAATTAATCCCGGATATAGTGTAAACAGCCTCAAAAACACACTATTTCGAGCCACTTAGAATCATAACTGGAATTTTGAGCCTCAATGAAAGTTGTAGTATATAGTATGATCTTCCTGACTGCAAAATACAAGCTTAAGCTGACTTACGGTTTATGAGTTATACACTGTCAAAGTACGGGAGTTACATTGTCGGTAAAATTCGATTCCGTAATTCCCGACTAACTTTTATGATCCAACTTTCATGATTGGCTACATTTACATGCTATAAACGTACTTCAACATACTAAACAGTAAAACAAGTCCAATGGTCGTTAACCTAAGCTTAATCATGCATTTTTCCTCCTTTCGACATTTAACCGAACAATTGGTGTACGGTTAAACATTTACCCACAATCTAATCATATTGAAACTATAATATACCCTTTTCATTTGTACATCAATTTAACCAGTCATAACATTCTAAGCATCAAATATATCATGATTTTGACAACATCAATCCGTAAACTTAGATATAAACACAGTTTATAAACCGGTCTTAATAACCCTAACATAAACACCTTAATAAAATTGAATGAAACTTATACCTTTAAGAAGGGTTCGGAGAGTGGATTCCGAATATATATTTGTTACTTCGATCCTGTTATTAACTTGACGTAAAATTTAGAGAGAAGACGAGAGATTTTAGAGAGATAATGAGACGAGAGAAATACAGAGCATGAGGCGGTGATAAAAACCCCCGCTCATGCATACTTATATAAATATATATATATATATATATATATATTTTTTTTTTCTTATATATATATATATATAAAGTTTAATTATTGGACGGTTTTAACCCTTCAAGTTAGATTCTCAACTTTACTTCAAATTAGATATAAACTCATTTTTGACGCAAAACTCGTCTGAAGTACAAGTTGGTTAAACATAGGGTACAAATATGTTATGCATAATTCTACCAAAAATTCATTGAACCCAATTTGTACGAGTTAACGGAACACGGATATTATAATCCTTCCCTCCTAAAAAGAATATTTCGTCCTCGAAATTTAGATAGGGTTAGAGGATTTACATGACTCGAAAAGATAAGGGTACTCCTTCCGCATAGATTCTTCCGTTTCCCATGTGGCTTATCTTTCAGAATGATTTTTCCATAACACTTTTACGAACGGTATTCACCTTCGTCGCATTTGTCTCTCTTCTCTATTAATTATCGCCTCGGGTTCTTCAATATAAGAGAGATTTTTTGCAACTTTGTCCAACGGATAATCAATCACATGAAGAGAGTGATAATGTGTTGGTCACGGTTCCAGCATCTTCCTAAATCGAAACGTGGCGCTGGCTGCTA